CCCCGACCCCGCCCCNCCCCCCCCCCCCCAAAACGGCTCCTCCTCCAAAGCGGGACGGCCTGTCGACGATCATGGGCCCCCGTCGTCCAGTCTGGAGCTAGCTTACCGCATGCAGTGGCAGCCGGGATGTAAGGTACATCAACGCGGTGCGACCATTCGCTTCATCGGCGGTCTGCGCAGCCGTGGTCATCAGTACATTCAGTCACTCCAGTCATCCCATGGCCCCGCAAACCCATTTCCTGTCCAGAGCCACTGGAGACGGCCAGCAGGGCCGAGTCGTCGAGTCCGTCTGGTCAAGTGACCGCCGCGCGACATTTGCCATCTCCACGCCCCTTTGACGAATCTCCCTCACGGCCCCGACCCGGCCAGACACCTAGCCCCTTCGCTCGTGGCTGACGCCTGCCCGGTGACGCTACTGGCACGGACGGGGCGCCTTCGCCCCAGTTCTGGGGGCCGCCAGGGCAGCAGCCTGTGTCCGCAACGCTCGCACAGGCTCCGCCGACGGCCATGTCCAACGTCGGCGCCGAGGACTGTCTGCGAAAACCGGGAAGCGCACAAGAGACAAACGGGCCGTGCAGAAGTAGATAGCCCCGGGCTATTTCTGGAGGAAACTATTGCATGTGCCATGTACCCAGACAAGGGTCTTTTTTCCTCGTCGGTTGAGCCACTGGGGCTACCCAAGCACACCAGTTGTCCTATCGTAGACACCGTCAACCCCCATCCGCTTTTCCCGCTAGCCGACAACCCATGGCACATTTTTTTTTTGCGGGATGTGCAGCATGCACCTTCTGCTCATGGCCGCCGCCCTCTTTTTCCCACTCACCCGTGAGCTGCTTGCTCGCCCAATGAAGCACTCATCGTCACCTTCTCGCCCCGTCAATGCCCTGACGTTGGGTGCAGGGCGCCTTCTTGGCTGGGGGCATATGAGCCGGTCCGTCCCCGCTGCCCAAGGCTCCCTGCTCCATTACCGCTGCCTTTTCTTCGCCGGACATGCTTGCTTGATTGCATGCGTTCGATGACGGGATTCACGCTAGCCCCGCCTGGCGTCTAGTAGTTGACTTGGTCGGCCCATCGATGCGAAGCTCTAATTTTATATGCCATCTTGGATTAACCACTGACAGGGCTCGGCCTAAGGACCAGGCGCTTCACACCTGCGACTTATTTACTATCACACCCCTCCCAGAAGGGGATGCCCATTTTTTTTCTTCTCATGTACCTCCTTGCTACCCTACCCCTACTTACCGACACCACTCCCTCCTCTCACTTTTTTTTCCCTCTTTCTCCTCATCCTCCCACCTCTGCATGTTCTTGTCGTGGTCGACAAATTGGCTCGTCACCTTTTGCAAGCTGCAGGCTCGCCTATTCGTGGTTCTGTCCGCACGAAACTACTGCATGTCAAGCGCCGGGCACACCCTCCACCGTCGTGGCCCAACGTGACTCTTCTCTGGAAGACAGCGGTGCGTGGCAGACACCACGTCTTGAGGTGGGTACCTAGTACATGGTACTGCCGCCCACGAGGCGGGTAACCTATCGTCGACAAGAAGTTGCCGCTCCCACACCTGGACCGCCCACTCCTTCTGCCCCCCTGCTGCTGCAGCATTGCTTCTGGTGCGTGGTTAGTGGTCAGTCTCCTAGACTTGCGCGCGTACTTGGTACACCTCCCCCCTTTTTTCTTCTCCGCGATCTTTCACGGACCCGTGCAACCGTTTCCATCCCACCCTCCCGATTTTTACGCATCAATTATTATCTCCCCATCAGAACCCTAGATCTACCTCTGCTGTTCCCTTTCCTCCCCTCCCTCCCTTCTTCCCTTCTGTCTCGCCTGTTGTTTTCCAAGAGAGGGATATTGAACTAAAACAAAAAAAAAGGGATCAGACGGAGTTCAGAGAACCTGCACATAATATTCTACGGGCTCTCATTGCGTCGCACCAAGAGCCACGAGGCACAGCATCCACGTACCCCCGGGGCCAATTCGAGTTCCACTTACACTCCCCGGGTCGTCGAGGAACGCCATTCGACTTGGAACAGAGACTGGACGGAGAAGGAACGGAACCGCCAAGGAGCCCCCAACCGCAGCGAGGGTATCCTCTCAACGTGATGGTCGGGAGCGGAACTGTGTAGCCTCCCACCGTCTGCCTTGGAAAAGCTGCGAATCATCCTGCTCTGGAAGTTCAGCCGATCCTTGCGCACTCCCTGCGCCTGGTACGTGAAACATTTTCTTCTGCTGCGCTGTGTAACGGCCGTCTCTATCGCTGCGTGTCTCGAAAAGCCTTCGGGAGAGCACGCGGCGGGGGAAAATGTGCCTGTGTCTTTGTGATATGCAGCCTCCCGCTAACGGCGCCTCCGCACCTTGGCTCTTGCCCTCTCTCCAGATTCCTGACCGCCGAAAGCGCCCCCCGCCGCCAGAGAGCAGAGGGGGACCGATCCGACCGAAGAAGGGGAGAATAGAAGAAAAAAAAGCATATCATCCGCCGAGATGTCCACACCAGGGCTGGCCGACCGGAACCGCTCGGGTTCGAGCGCTGCCAGATCTAGGGGCAGAGGGACACAGCCCACGGAATACGCGATGCCGCCTAGGTCGGCACACACCTCGACTGTGATGCGGTACTTTGAGCCAAGCGCCGCGACGGCGTCCATGTTCCTATACGCCCAGGGCAGCTCCGTGGTTTGCTGCCACCACGACACCCTTACGATCGAGCGCAGGTTCTCGCGCCATTCCGAGGAGATTCAGCTGCTGGCTGTCGATGTCCAGAGCGAGACGGGGGCGGGCAGGCTCGTCGTCAGCTACGACGCCGGCCAGACCGCCATCGTGTGGGATCTAATGTCGGGAGACGAGGTCGCTCGTTTCGCCTCATACGAGCATCTTACAACCGCAGCGTGGATGCGCAACGGAAACGTCGCGTTTGGTGAGCCAGCCCTGCCGCCTATCCTGCACCGCGTTTCTTGTTAGCGAGGGCGATTCACTTACCACCACATTTTGGCTGCAGGAAACACACAAGGAAACATAATATTATTTGAGCCCCAAACCTCGGAGCACATCTCTTCGAGGACATTGGATCAAATAGCAGTGACAGCGCTTGCACCCTCGGCCGACTGTCGGACTTTTGCCATAGGGTAAGCTCTCTTGGGCGATTGTGGGCGCTCGCCATGGATATGACGGACATGAAACTGACCTGATATGCTCTATAGATACCAGAACGGATCGCTCCTCATCGCAAACCTGCAGCCGAGGTTTACCATTTTGCACAACCTAACCACATCCAGGGGGCCGTCGCCTATCGTCAGCTTGTCATGGCACGCCTCGTCCTCGCGTCAAAAATCTGACATGCTGGCAGTGCAGACGAACGACGGCGATCTTCGGATCTGGAGCGTGGCCAAGTCGTACAATAACGCAGACCCGGCCAAGGTAGTGAGGATCTTGAGGAAGTCGGAGAACTTTCTCACGGGGCCAAACTGGATGGCCTGGTCCAAGAACGGCCGCATTGTCCAGTTCTCAGAAAAGTAAGTTGGGACGCGGCTTGACAGATAATCCTTGACCCTAGAGATCTCCGGTAACTGACAAAATTGCCAAACCACTAGCGAGACACTGTCGTGGGATGTCCGGACAAAGCACGTTACATTCGATTCCATCCCCTCGCTGGAGCACGTCCGCGGACTCGCTGTCTACGGGCCTGGTGCGAGCCTCTTCACCCTCGGCGCGAATAACACTGTCCAGCAGTTCGACCTCAACGCCCCGGCCGTGATGGTCGCCAATGTCCAGCACCCAGCAAACCTCCTCCCACCGTCGCCTCCGGTCTCGATCGAGGAGCAAGAGAAGGCTGCGGCCGCCAGCGCATCCGAGTCCGAGATCTCGGTTGTGATCGAGACGACGGCTTCTGAGAGCGAGGAGGACCACATGTCGCCTCTGGCCCGGATGATCAAGTCCAAGGCCACTCCGCCGCCGCCACCGCCGCCGCCGCCGCAGCAGCAGCAGCAGCAGCAGCAGCCAAATCCCCAATTCCGTCCCGCGAGCTCTCAGTCCAGTCGGAGCGGTGTTTCCGATGTGTCGACCACGAGCTCGCGCACGCCCGGCCAGTACCAGGGCTCTATCCAGTCCCGCACCATGACGGAAAACACGTACATCTCGGCAGGGTCTTCCATGAGGTCCTCAGCTGTTGCCGCCCCTCGCATTCGTGAACGTGATGCTTACTCTGTCACCGGCAGCCTGAGTTCCGTCTCGATGGCGGAATCGAGCAGTGGTGGGCGAAGCCGCCACCGGCCATCGCGGTTGCGCAACGAGGTGTCCCAGAGTCCGGATGATTCGAGGGTCGACGACCTGTTCAAGTTCACACGCAGTCGGCTCAGTGATATCCCCTACAAGATGCCAGCCATGGCTGATGCGTCGAGGCTCACCAACGACGATCTGCGCCGCCAGATGCTCAACACAGTTTTCGGCTGGAACGGCGACGTCCAGGGTCTGATCCGGGACGAGGCGAGCCGGCACCACAACGGCTCGCCCAACCGCATCCTACTGTCCAAGTGGCTGGGAGACGTCGAGCCCGATATTATTGCCACCAGCTCGGCCAATATGACATCGTCCGACTGGATGCTGCTCGCCCTCAGCGGCATCGGCGGCCAGGCCTCGCAGCACAAGCTCGGTCGCGCTTACGTACAGCGCCTGCTCGAGAGTGGCGACGTGCACGCGGCCGCCACAATCATGATTGGCATGGGAGACCAGAACGACGCCATTGAGATCTACGTGTCGCACAGGCGCTTCATGGAGGCTCTGCTCCTGGCCTGCCTCTTCTTCCCGTCGGTCTGGGAGCGTCAGGCCCAGATTCTCAAGAAGTGGGGAGACTGGGCTGTTCAGCACGGCCAGCAGCAGCTTGCTATTCGATGGTGAGTCTCTACTACGCTTTAAATCCCTCTATATCTGTCCGAGGCTAACACGAATCTTTTAGTCTCGCCTGTATCGGCAAGGAATCGTCGGAGCCGTGGACATCTCCGTCAGCCGCCCAGCTTACATTTGGCAGCTTGAACAGCATCAACGGCTCCATCCCTGAGATCCTCAGCCCTCCGCTCTCGCCGCCGGGAATCAACAGGGGACCCCAGCGCAGCATTGCCAAGACGTCGGCTCTCAAGCTCATCACCACGTTCGGCGACACGAGCGCCAAGTCCAAGTATTTTGCCGGAGACGATGGCCAGACCCCGATCGCGGCGGGAATCACTCCCATCGCCGAGTCTGCCATCTCTCCCGGCGGCTACGATCCGATGACGGCGATTCTGCGCCCGTCCCAGCGGAGCGGTTTCAACACGCCGAGCTCCGCACGCCCGACCCAGGGCTTTGGTCGCCAGCGCCTGCCATCGATTGGAGAGGCTCCCGGGAAGCGCCAGCCTACGCCTGACATCGCGATGGCCGAGCAGAGACAGCTTGATGCGCGCAGGCACGTAAGGAAGTCTTCGGCCGAAGTGACGAACGCTCAGCAGGCGGCCTCCATTGGCAGGGCCGCAACCGCCAGCCCCATGATGATGCGCGGCAAGAAGGAACCGCCCCCGCCGTCGCCTTCTCCGGCCTCGATGGCCATGCTGATGGAGAGCGGACGCACCAGCCGCAACGGGCCTCGGAACCGTATCCCCGATGGCATAGACTTGCACATTCAGCCCACAGAGGTGAATGGCCAGAGCGACGTTACTTCTCCTGAGCAGTCAGTCGCCTCGTCGACTCGCTTCCACTGGCCAACCAGGCGCCGGGGCCCGGGATCCGTGACCAGCTCCGTCACGTCTGCCGCCTCCAGCGTTGCTAAGAGCCAACGCGCCCGTGGCTATGGTCACCCTGGCAAGACGCTGGATGATTATATCCACAGCCTGGACACTGCCGGCAACCGAGCTACCAGCCGTGGGCGGGCAAGGGACTCGAGCAGGAATAGAGACCAGGCTGGCTCGCGCGAACAGTCGGCCGAGCGTGGCCGAGGTGCATCCCGAGGCTACACCCCACGAGCCGGGAAACGGTCGCCGAGGTCTCCTGTGCCCATGTCGCCCGAGGACCTGATCAACTTGAGCACGCCCAAGCACCCCGAGGCTCGTATGGAGCATGAAGGGTCCATCCTGATCGACCTAAATAGCAGCGGGCCCGATCAGGCCCCGAGCGCGGTCCGCAAGACCAGCAGCAGCCAGATCCGACGTTCGTCCAAGACCCGGGCTGGCGGCAACAGCCGCCACTCGAGCCGCGGCCGCCGCAACACGAGCGCCGAGAGGCTGGCGGACCGCAGCCGTAGCCGCAGCCTGAGGGACAGGTCGCCCACATCGCCCGTACCCATGTCTGCGGTCCCGGGCAACTTTTCCGGATCTGAGGACGAGCAAGACTTCCGCATGGCTTTGGAGGCTCAAGAGCGCTTCCGCAAGAACACGACGCGCGGTTCGAGCCGTGGCCTCCGGGAAGCCTCTCCCAGCTCGACGTCCCAGAAGATGCGTGAGAGGACAGGCAGCGACCACCACCTTGGCGGACCCAGCGCCAAGTCGTCGTCGCCGTCGTACCAGCAGCTCTACACGCTTTCGGGCGGGCACGACGATGCCCTTGCATCGGTCCGGCAGCTCAAGAATGAAAGGCAGCTCAAGAAGGAGGCTGCGGCCAGGGAGCTCGAGGAGCGACGCAAATCTCTCGCCCGCCGCCCCACGGCACCTCCTATCCCACACCCGGACGAGCTCTCTCCTATCGTCTCGCGGGCGCCGACCTCCTTCTTTGACCGAGCGCTGCCCAACAGCGGCTATGTACTACCCAAGGATCTGCCTCAGCGCAGTGCTACGGCTGATCCGAGCTCTTCGCGAAACGCTTACACGAGCACCAGGCCGGCCATCGGGTTGCCCGCGACCCCCAAGGCCATGCGACTCATCCACGAGCCCGACGCTCACGGCGTGCCCGGCGTGCCCCAAATCCCCACCACATTTGCCCAGCGAGCCTCACCCACCGCGTCGTCTCCTGGCAAGGTATCGCCCAAGAAGGAAATCCCCGAGCCCCAGCTGCAGCCTCGAGAGTATCGCCAGCCCTCTCCCAAGCAACACCAGCCACCGCCACCGCCACCGCCACCGCCACCGCCACCGCCGCCGCCGCCGCAGCAGCAGCAGCAGCAACAGCCGCAGCAAAAACAGCAAGAGGTGTCCCTGACCCTGCTCCCATCGACTGTCTACAGCCCGCCCGTACGGCCGCCCATTGACCGCTGCATGTCGGCTCCCCCTGCCGAAGTCCTGGCCCCCAAGACTTTTGGCGGTGGCCAGATTTCGCGTGGCCTCTCACGACAGCACTCGACCCGCAAGATGAGCCAGCCTGATGTCATGGCTGATGTTCGGCAGACAGTGGCGATCCCCACAATCGATGCCATGATTGGGGGCGGCGGCCGCCGGCCCTCGCACGACTCCCAGGTCCCCCTACCGCCGCCTCCGCCCCCAATGCTCAAGGAGCTCCAGCACCTCGCCGCCCCGCCGCCCCCTCCGCCGGCGCCTCTGCCGTTTGGTGGCGGCCCCAGGCCGCAAGTTTACGGCGGCACAACCTCGGGCATGATCGAGATTGTCATGGACGACGATGACCAAGTGCCCCCGCCCCCGCCCCCTCCGCCGTCGGTGCCCGTGGCTAGCCCTCTGAGCGAGTCCATCGTGCCCATCCTGTTGCCCCCAGCTCCCCCGTCGGCCAAGGGGACGTCTTCGTCAACCAGCGGTCACCACCGCGGGCGCAGCAGCGTCGACAACAGCCTAGCCAGCCGCTTCTCGCGAGCCACTGAGCGCATGAGGTCTGCCAGCCGCAACCGGACTACAAACCCGTCCATGGTGCCCCGCAGGTCGCCCGAGTCATCGACCTCGCCGTACGAGAGTGTGCCCTCGGGCCCTCCCATCAGCTTCTCCAACTCGCGTGCCGCCGCCGTCCAGCACATGGAGCAGCAGCAGATCCATATCCAGAACGACTACCGCACCGGCCTGCACAGGAGCGAGATGATCTAAGCTATTCAGCTTGTCTCTCCACCACTGGCTCGGTCTGGCCGTTTACTCTTCTCTCTTTTTTTTTCTCTTTTTAATTTTCGTCACACTCTCTCGACACCCAAGTCACCCACCAATTGTTGGCAGACACTATCAGCCAACCAGACACACGAAGTTTCTCATTAAATACCCATTCGATTCCTCTTGCTACCTATGCTTATATTGCATGGCGGTCGGCGTTTCTTCCCGTTTGTTTCTCATGCCATCTTTTAGTTTTTCACTTATGACGGGCATCGGCCATATACTCTTGTTTGATTTTATCATCGTTTTATCTTCTTTTCTTCGACAGCTAGATGCCAAGAGGCCGGTTGCAATGTTTGAAGGGCAACCGGAAAAACGCCCACGCAAAAAAGATACAAGAATGGGCGGTACAAGACGCCGAAAAAAAAAGAGGGCGATTCACGCGCCAGCAGGCCCAGTCGACAAAAGCTGTTTGGTTCAGCACGGGAAGAGCAAGGCCGCCCTCGCGGGAGAGGCCGGGCTCTGAGTTCCGAAGCAGAAAGAATCGGTTTTTGCATCTTTGCATCCTGGTCAGTTCAGAGATGCCGGTTTTTATTTATACAAGCAGCATCGCCACTTTGTCGTGTTCGGATTACTTTGTCATTAGAGGCAAATCAGTTGTAACAATTCAAGTCTCTCCTTGTGTCGGGCTCAAGCTACCTACTGTATCTTATCCACACGACCTTGTTTGGCATCCCGACATGTCGCCTTTCTGTTTTGCTTCCCTTATTTCTCACTTGTTCTCTTGTTCTGTGCATCTCGTTGCATCATTCACGCCGGACCCGATTCGGGTCTGGACATTACGAAGTTCATGACGTTCGACGGAAGGGATGGACGGTGTCTCGGGGACACGAATAATTTGGCTGGGCCACGGGGAGGACGAAAGAGAACCAAGACTGGCAATTCGAGAAGGTCGGAGTGTATAAGCAGGATGGAGCGTGGATGATGGTTCATATAACCTTGGCCTCGCGGCAACTGTTTTTGTTTTGAAGTTTTGCGCTAGTTATATTGGAATGAAATCACAATCTCATCTTTACCTTTGAAAGCTTGCAGGGTGCGATTAATCATTGCTCGATGATGCGAGTGGGAGGGAGAAAGCAGGGTTTTGGCCTGGGGGAAAGGAGCCGAGGAAGAAAAAAAGAAAAAGTGGCGCGACGGGGGATTGAACAGCTTCCTGCAGCGTCGCGCGCAGCGTCGCGGTCGCAATCAACCATACAAAAATATCATCAAAAAACAAAAAAGAAGTCGACGTCCCCATCTCAATCAACTGATCCAAGCCCCTAACGATCGTAATCCAATTCGCCATGCGACGGTGAAGATGTCTCTGCAGAGTGAAGCCTCCCTCAAGTGTCATCATCATTGCTTAGGGCCACACGCAGCGATCGCAGGTTACCCGTGCGAGTGGGTGGCCACCGCAGCATTCGAACTGGGCGTCATCAGAGGGTTCTGATGGGAATGGGGCAGACGATTGGGATATTCGGGCGCCTTCTTCCAATTTAACCATTACAGTTGAAAGACAGGGCTAGAGTTTGGGCTTATAAGGGCCTGGGAGGTGGGGGGGGGGGGGGGGGGGGG